TGCACACTCCCCTGACAAGAATGAATACCTCCTGATGTTCCCACCAGGCTCCAGCTTCAACATTTACCCCCAAAATCCACCACAAATCAAGTATGTTCTAATTGTTTTCACATGTTTTTCATGTTATAAGTAGTTAAATTAAATTTGTGTCATCCTAATTATAATCAGACAAAAGCCATAAGGTTTTCGTTAAAGTCATTTTTAGTCCTTAAACTATTTTTTATCTTTTTTTCATCCTTAAATTATGAAAAATGTACTTTTTTTAATTTTTCCATTTGTTAATTTATTAAATTTATCCATATATATACTTTTTTTAGTTTCTAAACTTATATAAAACAAATTTAATGGAGTAATTGATGAAATTCATTGCTTAAGGATACAAAAATGTAAAAAATAATTTAAGAACTAAAAAAGTTTAAAATTAATATTTTAGGGACTTAAAATGACATTTAACCTAAGGTTTTAGTAACGTGGTTCTTTTTTTGGTAATTGGCGTGAGTTATAAAATAAGGTATATTTGCCTCGTTTCTTATTTTTCTCTTATAATTTTAAGATACAAACTTAAAATTTTTAATTTAAAGTTTAAAACTCATATCAATATTAACAATTCAAAATTTATCTTGCGCAGGCTAATTATTTATAAATATATATATTGAAATTAACTATTTAATATTTTAGAAATTTAAGCTTTTATGTTATCTCAAGTCAGAATTTTTATATGGATGGAAAAAAGTCAGACCATGTTTCTTGTCTTTCCAGAGAAACCTTGGAAGAAATTTTCTCCTACTTGGTAAAAACAGGACAGCTTGTGAAGGACATTTTAAATCAGTGTTTGGGACTTCCTCCAAATTTCCTGAGAGAATTCAACCATGATAGAAGCTGGGATTTCAGACCGCCCTGCATTACTTCCCGTCTTCAGAAACTGAAAACAACGGATTAACAGAACATGAAGATGGGAACTGCATCACCTTCGTCTTCCAGGATGATGCCGGTGGCCTGGAAGTCCGCAAGGACGGAAAATGGATTCCGGTCACCCCTTTACCAGACACAATGGTCGTTAATGTTGGCGATGTCATCCAGGTAAAGGATTGACTATTTCCATTTCAATTCCTGTTTGGTTTAGCAGTTTCCCTTCCCCTCTCTCTTATGTTTCCCTCAAACCAAACAAAGTAATAGAAATGCTATATGTTGAGTGCAATCAGCACTCAGGACTTGATTGACCCGAGGTTTTTTTTTTCCCCTTTTTAATTTAAAAAATTAAAAAGAAAAAGAAAAGATGGAGAAGACCAATGAGGAAAGCAATGTTTGTGCACTCGAGTCCATGCATATATTAATTCTCTTTTCTTTAAAAACAGGAAACTTGTAGACAGGTTTAAAGATTAAGTTTTAGAAGTCGATGTAAAGAGTATTTAAAACTCATCTGATGGTATATTAATTTTAAGATGCAAGAAGATTGATTTGAAAACACCCTAATTATAAATCTCACAAAATGTAAAATATCGAATAAGTTTTTAAATTATAGATAACAACAACAATTAATTATTGGATATGAGGGCGAATCTATTGAGGCTCACATTTTCTTTTTTACTATTTTATGTCTATTGAAACTGAATTTTTGTTTAAACAAGGTGTTAAGTAACAAGAAGTTCAAGAGTGCAACTCGTAGAGTGGTGAGACCGAAGGGAAAAAGCAGGTATTCGTATGCTTTCTTCTATTCGTTGCAGGGGGACAAATGGGTGGAACCATTACCGCAGTTCACTGATGAGATTGGTGAGAGACTTAAGTACAGAGGATTCTTTTACAAGGATTACCAGGAATTGAGGATGAGAAACAAGAGACATCCACCTTCCAGGCCTGAAGATGTTATTCACATAACCCACTATGCAATTACATCATAGAACAAGACAATAATTTCTGAACTTACTGCAATCATTTTAATGTGTCTGTTTCTAGAATTTAAGGTTGCTGTCTTCTGTTTCTTCTTGTTGTTCTATGCGAATTCTGTTTTTTTGAAGTAAATTGTTTGATTCTGATGTTGCATGAATTTTTCAATTTTCTTTTCTGTTTCTTATATTATATCACACAATGAAAAATGACTTTCTTACATTTCTTAACTTATCTTAGTTGCATGTTTTATGCTTTAAATTTAAAATTTTTTACTTTAATGAGAAGAAATTATCATTAAGCTATTTATAACCGGATGGCTTGAATTTTCCAATTTTCTAAGATGATTAGATATTGACAAATGCAGATTCCACTCTTTGTTGAACATGCCTGTCCAACATAACTTACCTGCCTGCCACCTGAATTCATCAAATGCATTCTGGTCCTATTAATAATGGGCTTGCGATATCAAAAAGGAAAGATATTAATATGGGCTTGGCCCAACTTAAGTTTTTTTTTTCCTCTCTTGTGCTGGAGAAGTTTATACATGACCAACGTTTAACTTAGTAATACTACAAAATAATAATAATAATTTAATAAAAAAAGTATGTACTTTATTAAAAAAATAATTTAATATATTTTTAATTTATTATTAATTCAAAATTTATAATTAGTAAACATCTAATAAAATCTAATACTAAGGAACCGTGCAAAGTGCAATTTAAAGTCAAGTCATTAATTAATTTTAGAGTAGTAATATTAATAATTTTTTTTAAAAAAATTACTACTTGCTTATATTTTCTTTACAATATAAAATTACTATCTTGATTTTCATCTTTAAAATTAAAAATATCTATTTGGGTACCAA